AACTTTTCCAAGAGCCCTCGTATACAGTTGTATATAGCATTTTCAACTCTTCATTTTTAAAAAATGTTTCAAAGTAAAAGGTCATGCAGGAAAATCTCCCACACTAAAACCTAAAACAACTCCAGCCCAGGTGGCTTCACTAATAATGTACTAAACATTTGGAGTGGAAATAATGCGTATCTTCCACAAACTCCTCCAGATAACTGAGAAAGAGGGGTTCCCTCTCCAACTAATCCTGACACGAGAACACCTTATGTACCAAAACCTACAGGAATCGGCCCTCACCTTGCCCCGCGTTGGTCCCAGTGCGCTTTAGCTACAGCCCGAGGATGGCTGTCCCCAAGGAGAGCACATCCCTGCCCCCTGCTCCAGCCTGAGGACACCGAGTGCAGGCGGATGTGGATCTGTTGGCCAAGGTGAGCCGCCCCTGCCAGCGCGGGGCTGCTGGTATAGCTGGACTCGAGTCACAGCTCCAGCCCCCCATCCCTTCCTTCTGCCGGCCACGGGGTTGTGGGCGTCACTTACCTCCCAACTCATGAAGGGGGAGGCCTAATTCTTGAGACCACAAACTCAGACCATGAGAGCCAAGTGCCTAACCTTCTGCTCCACCTAGAGGCCACTACCCCGACCCCAGCCCAGGAGCCCCCAGCCAGCACTCACAGCTCTCACCTCGCTGGGGGCGGACCCCCAGCCGGCCTGGGCCTCCATGTCCTGCAGCTTCTGCGTCTGCTTCAGCTGGTTGAGTGTGGGCTTCAGCTGCGTGGCCCCCGCCGTCCTGCTCGTCCACTCGTCCACCAGCTTGTGCAGGTCATCTGTGAATGTCCCCTTCTTGTTGTTGCTGTTGTTCACCTGCGCCTGGACGTGCAGGGTGGGCTGGGTGCCTGGCTCGGGGCCCGGGGCCAGGCTGCTGGTGGAGGACCCTGGGGAGTCACATACAGGCCAGGATTGGTGACGCCACACACTCGCCCAGCGCCCCCAGTGGGCTGGCTGCAGTCATTCTCACGGGATGGCCAAGACCATGGCCCCACTTGGCCAGCAACACCTTGCTTCAAGAGGCGGTCTGCAGCAGGGGGCCTAGCTGCCTGGTTTGAGACACGGAAGGGCATTCCTCAGGCTGCCGGTGACTGGGCTGTGCCAGGTGGCCAGGCCAGAGGACAGGAGCCCCCAGCTGGGCTTTGCCCACCGCCACCCATCCCCCCAGATTCACGTGGGAGACATGGGAAACTGCTGGCACTGCCGGACACACGAGTGTCAGCATCCTAGGGACTAGGGACAGATTCGTCTGGCTCTCTGGCCTCTGCAGCCTGGGTGTAAGGAGGGTGCTGAGAGGAGGAGGAGACACTCCTTGGGAGGGTGCTCCAGCTGGCCAGCCTCCCCCAAGCCTGCCAGCGACCCCTGTCGGTGGGAGGGAGGCAGCACAGGACGTGGGCCTCGTCATTCACACGCCCATCAGTTTGAACAGCTTGATATTTTGGAATTGAAGACACTGAAATAGCATCTCCTTACCGGTGGCTCTGTGGAAGATGTTAACAAAGTGGCAGGCACCTAGAGCCCACTGCCGTGGGGCCCACGGGCTGACCAGAGCGGTTTCTGCTTCACTAAAAGCTAGTGACCAACACGGGATTTAAATTTTTTAAAGTGAGGTCCCCTATGCCCCCACCCCACACATAATTTCTGGGTGGTGATTTTGAATAAGCCAATTAAAAAGTTCCCTGTGTTTGCAAAAAAAAAAAAATCACCTAATGACCATCTCTTCAAACAAGCTGTTCCGAAATGTAGTGTACTTTAGTGGCTAGCAATGGAAAAGCACAGACACAAACAATTAAAAATTAGTGATGAGATTTTACACACATGGAGCTATTTCTACATGAACTTTCAGCCAGAAAAAAATCAAAAGAAAGAAAGAAAACTAAAGAGCGCGCGAGAGAGATGAGTGGCCCAGGCAAACCAATACCCATTCAGTGCTGGTATCGCTCCTCGTGGGGAGGGACTCATCCTCACACCTCAAGGAAATACTCATTCCTACGGTTTTGGAAAAGGAGCCAATTAATGATTGGGAATCTGGGGACGTTCCGGAGAAGGGTCAGCCTGTTAGATGTGAACTGGCGAGACCGCACACACTCTAGGAGCCACGGCGACACAACGAGGGCCGGAGGGCGCCGTCCTGCCAGGCGGAAGCAAAGCTGCCCAGCGAGGGGCACAGAGCGGGCAGGGGGTAGGCCCAGGCCGCTGGCCGCAGGCCCCTGGCGCGCACTAGCCACAGGGAAGCCCATGCGATGAGACGGGACAGAAGGGGAAAGAAACCCGGATAATTACTACTGCTGTGTTCTTTGCCTAGGCAGAGACGCTTCAGGGCTGACCCTGCAAGGGAAAAAGAAACGACACAAGACCACGGGGTTAGGCAGAACGGCACACACCGGACATGAACCACACCAAGCCAGAGCTGTCAGTGTGCAGGGCGGGGAAGACACGGGCAGCGGTTCGGAGAGGAGGGCCAACCCGGCGGGGGGTTAACGGGCAGCACCCCCAGTTAGTGTGCAGGCTCCTGCGGGCATCGCCGAGGGGCAGAGGGGCCAGGGCCAGCCCCCAAGCCTCAGGGAGAAGTATGTGTCTCTAGAAGCATATTCCAGAAAAAAGAGAAAGAAAAAAGGGAAGGGGGAGAAAAAAAAAAAAAAAAGCAAAGCACACCACACCGCGTGGCCTTCCAACACCAGGCTGTGGGGAGCCCCATGGTTGAGGCGGGAAAACCCACCCAAAGCCAGGCGCCGGAGCTCAGCTCTCAGACACAGCTGGGCTGGGCCTGGGTCAGCGGCCACTGAGGCCGCTGGAGGTTTTCCAAGTGCAAAAAGATACATTGTTTTGCAGGTTTCAGGCCCATACTAGATCGCAGATGGCTGGCGTGGGTGAGGTCAGTGAGGAGGTATCAGGTTGGGATACTAAGGGCTGTCCCCGATTCCCAAGATACACACCTTTCCTTGACCTGGGCGAGGCCTCCATGTGAACATCCAGCACCCCCCACTCCCCACTCCCGTTACTGGACCACCTCTACACAGAGCAGCCCACACGCCCCCCGGGTCTCTGGTGCTGGGTGGATGGGCCATCAGCTCACTGTACTGCCCAGCAGGGCCTGGAGGGCCGGGGGTGCTGCCACGCCAGCTTGTCCTCTGGCTACCCGGGAAGCTGGACAGGCAGAGCTGGCCCAGAGACGGGCTCAGACTTTCTCAAGGTCACTCAGCAAGGCCATCCTGGTGCAGAGGGTCCTTCTGTCCCCTCACCAGGAGCACACTCTGTCCTCTGGGACACACTCCCCAGAACAGGGCGCCCAGGCTTAGCCCTGCCCCTGGGCGAAGGCTGAACTCTGAACTTCCAGCGACCTGGACAACCCGGCCATGGTGGCCTTCCTTCTCTGACCTGAGCCCACCCAGGCTGTGAACACAGGACTGGGAAACCCAGCTCAAATCAACTGATTTTTAGCTCATTCTGGATGTTCTCTGAGGCCACCGTGGGGAAAGACGAGCTGAGATTCTGTCAGCTTTTAGTGTTCAAAAAGGAAGGAGGTGGACAGGAGGGACCCGGACAGAGCCGCTCTGGGGCCAAGTCCCAGCTGGTTGCCATTCCAGGAGGACACTGCGCAGAAATGCAGGGCTGATGTGCCCTGGGGATCCCTCTGGCATGCAGGGGTATGGACTGTTTGCTACAGTGAAGCAGGGACCCCCAAGCTCTGCGACTATGCCCACCCACACAGCTCGGATCCAGCGTGCACCACCGTGGAAAGGCATCACCCCCCTGCTAGACTGCAGTGGTCCCACAGCAATGGAGGGACTGTGGTCACACTGGGTCCCCTGACCCAGCCTCCAAAGGAGTGCTAGGAAAAGCTGTCTCTGCCCGCCTGGAGCTCTTGATGGGGCTGGAAGGGCTGGTACTCCCACTAGTTCCTGGCCATCCTCACACCGGGAAGAACACCAGGTAGGCCAGGGGCTGCCCAGGAGCCACCAGAGGGAGCTGGGCCTGTGGGCCAGAGCTGTCTCACCTCCCTAGGATCCCAGAGCACACTCTCAGAGCCAAGGACAACACTGCCCCGTCTGGCCCCCATAGCCTTGCTGGACATGGCCCCAGGTGACCAAAGAACAGACAGCTCCTACCCTCCTCGGCCTTTCCTACTCACAGCCACAGATGACCAGCAAATGGGTGGCTCCCACCCCCACAGCCGTCCTGGACAGCAGCCCAGGTGAACACAGTACGAACAACCCCTTCCCGCCATGGTCTTCCTGGACACAGCCCAGGCGTCCAGAGAAGATGGTACCCACCCGCTATGGACTTCCCAGGTAACCACAGCACAGACATCTCTCTCAGCCTCTGGACAAACAGATCAGGAACCTCGCCATATAGGCCTTGGTCTCAGGGGAAGAGCCATCTCTAGGCTGGGGAGACCCCTGGCCCCACTCTGACCAGTGCTGCCTGTCTTAGCGGGTGCCACCTCCGCCTCCCTCACTGCCTTTGCCCTGGCCCTAGCCTTCAGCTACACAGCACACAGAGGGAATCTGATGGACAAGCCCTGCCTAGCCAGTCTAGGTCAGGATAAGCACCCTGGGCTCCTGCCCCGCTGGGAGGCAGCCATGGAGGGAAGAGAGAACCAGCAGGAGGCAGAAGGGCCCAGATTCTGGGGGCTGCTAGGGGTGGGGGCCACGCAGACTCCTCCCAGCTGTTGGAAAATACAGTTTCCTCCCAGAATGTATGAAAGGCAGCAAACATGTGGACAAGCCTGGGGCAGGGGCTCATTGTGCCTGTAGGCCTGTGCAGTGAGCTAAGGCCCTGCTCTGTCCCCACTCCCTTTGTCACAAGGAAAGAAAAACAGAGGCTACCTGGGGGTTGCTAGTCTGCGCAGGGCCTGAGCACCCCTCCCTGCACTGTCCAGAAGGCCTCAGGCATGAAGGATTGAAGGATTCAAACCGAGACTAAGACCGATGCTGAAAAATTGGGTCAGGGGCTAAGTATTTGGTGAAATGGTTATGGCACCTCTTGGGACATGCAAATCTCATGTTGGAGAGCCTCAGTTCAAAGTCCTGGCTCTGCTTCTGATCCAGCTTCCTGCTACGCACACCTTGGGAGGTGGCAGGTAATGCCTGCCAAGTGAGTTCCTGCCACCCACATGGGAGACATGGATTGAGTTCTGGGCTCCTAGCTTTGGCCAGGCCCCCCAGTCATCTGTGGAGTAAACCAGCAGACGAAGATCTCTGTCTCTCTCTTTTCTTTCAAATGAAGACTTTTTTTAAAAGTAGGTCAGGCCCAAGAGCAATTCCTCATGTCACGGTGCGGCAGCCCCAGCCCCCAACGCCATGCCACACGGCGTCACTACCTCGAGGGGGTCAGCTCTGCTGGACAGCACCATCAGTCCCAGAAACCCTTCATGATGTCTCCACATGGAGTAACCATGTCTCTGTGCTGAGATGGGGACACTCACTTCCGCCTGTGCCGCATGACCCCGAGCCCCACGGGGTCCCTGATAGCCCACGGGTGAGCCACGCCGACCCCCGCCAGGATGCAGAGTCCCTCTCCTCTGAGCATCTCTGTCCACAGGACCTGGCTGAGCACGGGCTCTCCTGTCTGAGGGTCCCCGAGTCAAACATGCCATAGCTGACAGGTGAGAAAAAACACATAGAGAGACCCACCGAGAAAGGCCCATCTGACAAGGTAGGGGGACCCGAGGGAGGTCAGTGAGCAGCATCAACATGGCCTCTGACTCATCGCCCCTCAGGACACGCTCCCCCAGCTGCCCGCTGACTGCCAGGATGCATCCAGTAGACACAAGTCTGTGCTGAGGGCCTGCGACACAGAACCCCACTGCTGTGACCTGGACCCCGTCCCTGCCCTCCACACAAAGTCACTCGCTCTGGCTTCTGGGGCCACCTATGCTTGGCCCTGCTCTACCCTGGGACAGTCCCCACCCCATTGCCCAGTTCCAACTCACCCTGCCAGGGACCTGTCATCTTCCTGGAGCTTCCTGGAAGCTGAGACCTTTCTCTACTTCAGAATTTAACGTGAGGCCAGTGTTGTGGCATAGCGGGTAAAGCCACTGCCTGCAGTGCCAGCATCCCATATGGGTGCCGGTTCAAGACCCGGCTGCTCCACTTCCGATCCAGCTCTCTGCTATGGCCTGGGAAAGCAGTAGAAGATGGCCCAAGTCCTTGGGCCCCTGTACCCGCATGGGAGACCTGGAAGAAGCTCCTGGCTCCTGGCTTCGGACTGGCACAGCTCCGGCTGTTGCAGCCAACCGGGGAGTGAACCAGTGGATGGAAGACCTCTCTTTCTCTCTCTGTGTAACTAACTTTCAAATAAACAAACAAATCTTTGAAAAAAAAAAAAAAGAATTTAATGCATTTGCTTTCCTGCAATCTCCTCTATTCCAGGAAAAGGGGGGGGGGGTCACAAACCAAGGCAGTGTACTAGGCTCTCTAGCCTTTATCAGGGGAGCACTCAGCTGCGCTTGGCTGGCCCCTCCCCAGCTGCATGTGACTCCAGACTCCACAGGTCCCCAGCACACAAAGCTCAGTGTGCTGCTCCCATGCCCTGTGCCGTCAATCACCAGCCCCTGCTGGCACCAGCGGACTTGCCCGTCCAGCCAACCCCGGCCCCCACCCATAGTCCTGAGCTGCTCAGCACTGCCAACACCTGACTGCCCTCCAGTCGTCTCCTGGGTGGCAGCCCATCTGACTGGATCCTGATCCTCCACTTGGCAGTGTGTGGGGACACTCGATGCAGAGACTGACTCAGCCAAGGCTGGCCTATGGAACCAGCAATAGCACCGAACTCACCCAGCAGGAGAAGGGGCCAGGCCCCACACCGAGAAGCTGCGTGCTAAGCCTGCCTCACACATCTCTGTCTCAGGGCCACACCAATGCAGCCAAAACCCAAATCCTTCACCCATACCGGCCAGTAACAGTAAAACCAAGGGAAACCCTTTAAACACACAACCTGGGAGAGAGGCCGTGAGATCACCATCTGCCACGGCCATCGCTGCTGTCTGCTCTGCTGGGCCCCCAAGTTGGGCCGTCCGGGGATGCGAGACGCCAGGGCCCCGTGTCCTCAACCTGGCGACCACCCCAGGGCAAGCTGCATACGCACGGGAGACGAACAGCAAGTGAACTGTAAAGCAGGCAGGGACCAGGGGGCACAGCAAGGGGGCCTCCAGCCCCGCCCTGTCCTCAAGGCAGCAACTGACCGGACCCACGCGCCAACTGCCACATGACACTGCGTCCGAAGCCCTCGACCCAACCCGTCCTGCCTCGAGCGGCCTCTGATGGGGCACTAGTGGCCATGGCACCCACCGGGGGGCGTGGCCTTGGCTTCCACAAGCACAATGTATCTTTATTGTACCAGCAAAAAGTCAGGTGCCCCACACCAGCATATCCAATCCAATTGTCAAAAAGCTTAATTTTTTCTAGCAAAAAGGCAAAAGCCTAAAACCTCCACAGATTTTGATGCACTTGCCAATCGTTCGGAGAATTTAAAACAAATCGCCCTGCTTTGGGTGGCCCGACACAGGTGTGCGTTCCTGGGCAGGGGGAATCTGGGGCCCCAGGAGCCTGGCCCAGGGTATCTGAGGGAGCCTGAACTGGGTTTTGGTTTGGTAGATTTGAGGAGCTGTGACAGTGACTTTATCCCTGAGGTCACGTCGGGGGAGTGGGTCACAGGAAAAATACAGCCAGCAAAGTGCTCCAGCTGGACGGATAAGGAGAGGGGGCGAGGTGGGGTGCAGGCTCGCCTAGGGGAGCCGCGGGGGAGGGCCTCAACCTCATCTTTTGAGGTTGAGAAATGCAGAGGATGAGGAGAGACTGTGGGGGGCTCCAGAGCTCCTGGTCCGGGCACGGAGGGGACTCAGGACGCCCTCGGCAGAACCCACGCTCGTCAGCATGTCCACAGGTGGGAGTGGGGCGGTGGGAGTCTGCAGGCTGGGGGCTGGACTTGGACCCCTGCACAGAGGTCACACGCTCCAGGGACCCGGCGGACGGCATCGGCCTGCCACACGCACGTCTTCCGAGTCCAGACGCGTGGGCAACACCCACGTCTGGAGGAGGTTGGGGCTGTCTTTCTGCTGTCACTGGAACTGGGGACAGCGGACATGGATATCTGCCACAATCGCAACAGAACGAAAACAAAAACAGAAAAAACAAAACCACGTCCAACATAAAAAAAAAATAAATAAATGAGGTGACGGAAATAATGCAAGGCACCCTGACAGGTGTGGGGCACAGGTGCTTGGGCGGAGGTGGCGAGCCGCCGCGCATGCTTTTGGTGCCAGGGCACAGCCAAGAGCATGCATGCGAGCCGACCGGGGCGTTCCAGGGAAGGGCTCGTGGGGTCCCCCTGTGACACTGCGGAAGTGGCGTCAAGGGGTGGGGAGGCATCCTCTGAAATGCATGAGAGGTGATGAAGACAGGGGGCTGGGGGAGAAACCAAGGGCTGGGAGGTGGTAAAATACAAAAGAACAAATACAGACAGATGGACACAGATACGGGTCCAGTGAGGAATCGAGCGCGAGGCTTGCTACTAGACTTATAGGCCCCTCTCTCAGACGTTGGGTGGTAAACCGTCCAGCCTGCAAGTGAATATAGAGGGAAGAAAACAAAGAGACACTCATCAAGTACAGTTGCTGCGACCACTCCTCCGCACCAACAGCCACACCAGCCTCGTAACTAACATCCACGGCTGCACCTAGCCCAGCCCAGCACCACAGCCACTGACCCGGCGTGGGGAGGAGGCCACGCGAGCAGCAGAGAGGAGCGGCCCGGGGGTGGGGGGGGAGGGTGGGCGGGGCAGGTGGGCGGGTGGGCGGGCACCTGCAGCAGTCGCCATGGTTCTCTGGTGAGGCCAGGAGAGCACCTTATCCAGCCACGGCGGCGTTGACGAGAACACGTCCTCCTCGGGCCACGCTCCCAGCTCAAGAGCTGAGCCCTCGACCCCCAGCTGGCCCTTGGACTTGGGAAGGGCCTGGAGTATAGCCCCGTCCAGCTCTGCTACGGGGAGCAGGCAGGAGTGGGGCAGCCGGTGCCTGGGAACACAGCGTGATGCCTGGCCCCTTCCCCTCCCGTCATGGGGCCACGTTCGAGAGGCCGGCTCTAGCAAACGCATCACCTGCCTCGGGCTGCTTACAGCAAGATCTGGCGATGCAGGGGGGGAGGGGCAATTGCATCCTTTCCTCCAAAGACTACATCTTTGCCTCCTCTTCTACGAAGCCGCCTCAGCAGCCTTTGCCGCAGCGCGTGTCCCCTCTGACACACAGGCGTGCTCCTGGACGCCACTGAGCCCTACGTGGCTGGCACATGCTGGACACAGGCAAGCTGGAATCACCTTGGCCACGCGCTCCGCCTCCGTCATTGGCTAAGCCGGAGCAGATGTCCGTGGACAGGGAGGCGCGAACAGAGCAGGGCTGCTGGGTCTGAACTGCCTTGGCGCACAGGGGCGTGCTGGTGTGGGCAGGGTCCTTAGCGGGAGGGCCTCTGCTGGAGTCAGACAAGTGACCTGGGCGGGGGGAGAAGAGGCGACAGGCACCATGAGGCGCCACCGGGCAGGGGAGGGCACGGGCTGGGTCTGGTCCCTGCTCTTTGCCGGGTGGCCTTGAGGAAGCTCAGAGCTTCCTGCGGACAACGATGGGTGGCTGGATGTCCCCCGTGGGACTGCGGGGACGATGAAGGGACGTGCCCAGCCTCCCCAGGCCTCAGTGCCTTGGGGGACCTTGTGCTGTGCAATATGGTAAAGGCTGGCACAACCCAGGCTTAAGGTGGTCTGTGCACCCTTCACAGCAGTGAGTCTCCCTTTAGCTGGGGCACTAGCACCGAATTTGGGGAGCTTGAGCGACTCACGAACTGGTTATTAGCTGACAGTTAGCTTCCTGTCTGGCACGCTTGGGGAGCTCGGGTCCCACATCCCTGGCCTCAGAGCACCTTGCAGCATTGCCCAGAAGGCCTCGCGGGACCTCCTGGCATGTGCATACATGGGCTCCTGGCTGCCTGGAGCCAGGCCAGTGCCATCCCCGTGACCACGTGTCCTATTAACAAGGCCAGGAAGCTGTGTCCATGCTCCCCTGCCCCGCTGCTAAGGGCAGTTGCTGCATCCCTACTGAGCAGACCTGGTGGCATGGGCCTGAGAACTGGGGTGGAAGGAGGCATCCCCCGCCGGGGGCGGGGCAGGGGGAGGCAGGCAGGGAGGGCCTGGAGCTTCTGAGGCACCCCGGGCGCCCCTGCCCAGGCCTCGTCTCTGCACCCAGGACAGAGGCAGGCTTCTCTCAGCCTGTAGTGATTTTCCTACCCCAGGGAAAGGAGGTCCAGAAACTCAACCCCGAGCCCTCGCCCAGGTCTGGGAAAGCTGTCCCTGGAGCCCTCCCATCCCCCTCCTGTCCCTGCCGGCGCAGCCCTCCGTGCGGCAGGTGCGCCAACCTGTGCTGGAGGCCACGACCTTGAGCTGCTGCACCAGGGGGTTCAGGAGCCTGCCCGCCTTCAGCTTGCTCTTGCTGGGTTTCCTCCGGCGGCCGGTGGGGGGCGCCGTGTGGAAGAAGCCCACGCTGGGTGGCAGGGGTTTGCCCAGGCGGCGGTACAGGGCCTCGATCTCCTGCTTCTGCTGGCTCTGCAGCTCCGAGATCTCCTTGAGGTGCCTGAGAAGGGGAGACAGGAGGCAGGCGGGTGGGCTATGCTCGGAAGGGCCACAGCGGGGCTCTAAGTGGCACGGTCTGCTTCTGTCCGAGCCATGTGCCAGGCTGGGGGCCTGCAGCATCAAAGTGCCCAACAACACAGGTAAACCTGCAGACTGTCACCTTTCCAAATATGCTTACAACCAAACCCTACACATCAATACATGGGTGAGGAGAGGGACAGCCTGCCTCTGATTAACACGCAAATCTGTGTCACTTCCGCCACACACAGGTGGTGAACAGGGGTGCTTTGCAGGACCACCGAAGGGAGGAGGCAAGGCCCCCTGCTAGGCTCACTTGGGGATGAGTTGACTGCACCCCTGCCTGCCTCCCTTACACCCTCCTACACCTGGGTGTGGTTGGCTCCCACGGGGCCTGCAGTCCCTTCTCTCCCCCAGCCCATCCCCCACTCTGTCTTGTCCGGCTGGGAAAATAGGCGATTTTTATGGTTGGGAAAGAGGAACAAGTTCTGGCCGGCGCTGCAGCTCACTTGGCTAATCCTCCGCCTGCGGCACCAGTACCCCGGGGTTCTAGTTCCAGTTGCGGCACTGGTTCTGTCCCGGTTGTTCCTCTTCCAGTTTAGCTCTCTGCTGTGGCCCGGGAAGGCAGTGGAGGATGGCCCAAGTGCTTGGGCCCTGCACCCGCATGGGAGACCAGGAGGAAGCACCTGGCTCCTGGCTTCGGACAGGCACAGTGCGCCGGCCGTAGCAGCCATTTGGGGGGTGAACCAACAGAAAGGAGGACCTTTCTCTCTGGCTCTAACTCTGCCTGTCAAAAAAAAAAAAAATCTAATTAAAAAAAAAAAAAAAAAAAAAAAGAGGAACAAGTTCTGATTCTACCTCGTGTATCCTCCACAGTGGACAAGTCTGCTTTAGAAAGATAACTTCCATTAAAAACAGCCAAATAAAAAAGAACACAACCCTGAGGGTTTTCTTCCCTACAAACTCCGGGGAGAAGTGGAAAACTGCTGTTTGCATCGGATTTGCGTTCAAAAGCAGTAACATGTCGGACGGGATGTTGGTCAGCCGTGGGATGTCAGGTGGGCAGAGGGACTTCAGGCAGCGCTGTGGTTCCCGAAACCCTGCTGCAACATGACCCCCACACTGGAGCCCGCCTGCCCACTGAGCTGCCCAGCCTGCTCCCCGCAGGTGCCCTGGGTTTCCAGCTCCGGAAAGCAAGGGTGGGTCAAGCACGGGGCTCCTGAGAAACCCTGGTGAGGAGGAGCAGTCCAGGCTCCTGTGTCCTAATGAGGAGTCCACGGGATTCCCATGCAACACTTGGGATCCGTGGGCCACTGTGTAGCTGATGCCACCAAGTGCCCTCCATTCTCAACTGAGGCTTATGAGCTCCCTTTTGCAGCTGACTACTGGTTTTCTGGGAATCATCCCTGAGAGGCTGTGCCCAGGGACCCCTGCCCCTCAGGTCCAGGTGCTGCCCACCCACCCTCAACTAAAGCCACGCTGGCCATGGCTGCTGGGCCTGCCTATTGAGTGCCCCAAACCAGTAGCCTGTAGTGCTCCCCATTCTCCGGCAGAGAGCCAAGCCGTCCTCCACGCGCTGCACCGACCTCCTCCCAGGCCTAGCCAGAGCGCTCTGCCCTCTCCGTGCCTGGGCCCCAAAGAGACGGCCCTCTCAGGAGGTCCACCACTTGAGCCCGCTCCCACAGAATGAGCTTGATGGCTCTGCTGTCCCCGGGGAACTCAGCTTTAGTCACCCCTTCGGAACCACAGTGCCGCCTCCCACGGCCACCCTGAGGACAGCTCAGATCCCAGCTGCATCTCCAAGAATGGGGCGAATACGGGCCGCATGAGACAGACATATATACACATACAGCAAGAAAGTGTGCATGTGTGCGCTGGAGAGAAGGCACAGGTCCCATGATCCCCTAAGACATCTCTCTGAGGGCCACCGCAGCAACAGCTCAGCGGCAGGCTGAGGGCAACTGTGCAGCGGGGAGATGCAGCCCCCAGAGAAGCAGGGGCCAGACAGAGCACAGGGCAGCACCAGTCCAGGCCTGAGGACACCCTGGGGGTGGGACTCTGCTCTCAAGGCCACAGGAAGAGCCCAAGCCAGGCTCACCACCACCCAGCCCCCTAGCTCGCCGCTCTGAGCGCACTTAATGCTGCCCAGTGGCTTCCCCGGCCCCTGGAGCCCGCGCCTCGGCTTGCACCCACGTACTTCTCCCGCAGACTCCGCAGCTCCCTCTTGATGTCGGCGTCCTCGAACTCTGAGTCGTTGTCGCTGCTTATGTAGGATGACTGGGAGTGGAAGGAGGTGACGCTGATGGTGGGGACCTTCACGCCCGCCCTGCTGGGCGTTTCAGGCCCCAGGGAGCCAGCCCTCGAGGACCTGTGCAGGAAGGCCGTGGCCTTCTTCACCAAGTCACTGGCTGTGCCGCTGCCGGGCAGGGAGGCCTGCTTCTGCACTGGGGGTCTCCCTTGCAGACACTCGTCCCCAGAGTCACTGGACGCGGGCTCGCCAACGCCCACCTCGATGGAGGAGGCCGTCTGCGCCCGTCGCACCGCCAGCTTCACGTCTGGGCTGGAGGGAGCCTCGTCCAGGTAGACGTCGGGTGGGGCCGAGTACCGCAGGTTGTGTGGGGAGGCCAGTGTCCACTCGTCCTGTGTGCTGACCACCGAGAAGCGGCCCACAGTTCTGGCAGGTGAGTCCCTGTCCGGCTGTCCGAGCCACTTCGGAGGGGAGCCCGAGAGCCGGGCACCATGTGCCAGGTGGTGGCTGGGCTGGCTGCTGTCTGTGACTGCCCCCGGGCAGCTCTGGGCCAGCTCTGCCAAGGCTTCCCTGGGGACCCCGCTCTTCCGGTCTGGGGGCTCCATGCGTGCAGGGGCGTCCTTGGGAAACAAGCAGAAATGAGGACAGTCCAGGGGAGCCCCAGCAGAGAGCAGACCCACCCCCCACCCCCAGCGGCCAAGCTGAATTGCTCTTACCTGGGTGGCCCCGGGCGCCACGGGGGAGTCTGAGGCCACCTGCCCCCCATCACTGTCGCAGCCCAGCGTGTTGCTGGAGGTTGACTCTGCTGTGGGGACAGGACAACATCACAGGGGCTGGGGGCGGCGGGAATGGGAATGGCCCACAGACAGGCTGCCCGCGGTGAGTGCCCTGGATCTTTTTTTGGGTCACACTTGTGACATCCTAGCCTGTGGCACTGGTACATGTGACCTCACGGAAGATACCTACACACTCAGGGAAGGGAAGCAGCTTCAACCCCAAGGGCCCTCGTGCAGCCAGGCTCTCTGCACACCTCATGGCCAGCAGCTGTCTTGCCCATGTCTTCCTTGTTTAGGAGGGCTGATCTCCAACCACTCCTGCTTACAGAGTGGGGTACAGCCTCTTATTTCTTTTTTTCAAATTTACTTATTTATTTTCATGTCATTTGAAAGAGAAAGAGAGAGAGAGAGCAAGGCAGGGAGGTCCTCCAGCTACTGATTTACTTTTTTTTTTTTTTTTTTTTTGGACAGGCAGAGTGGACAGTGAGAGAGAGAGACAGAGAGAAAGGTCTTCCTTTGCCGTTGGTTCACCCTCCAATGGCTGCCGCGGCTGGCACGCTGCGGCTGGCGCACCGTGCTGATCCAATGGCAGGAGCCAGGTACTTATCCTGGTCTCCCATGGGGTGCAGGGCCCAAGCACTTGGGCCATCCTCCACTGCACTTCCCTGGCCACAGCAGAGAGCTGGCCTGGAAGAGGGGCAACCGGGACAGAATCCGGCACCCCGACCGGGACTAGAACCCAGTGTGCCGGCGCCGCAAGGCGGAGGATTAGCCTAGGGAGCCGCGGCGCCGGCCCGATTTACTCCTTAAATGCCCCAACAGCCAGGGCTGGGCCAGGCTGAGCCAGGAGTTTGGAACTCTTTCTGGGTCTCCCATGTGGGTGGCAGGGACCCAGGTACTTGAACCATCACCTGCTGCCTCCCACGTGTGCATTAACAAGAAGCCGGATGGGAAGCAGAGGAGCTGAGAGTCGAACCAGGCACTCTGATGTGGGATGTGGGCATCTCAACCACTCTGCCAGCCCACTTTTTCTGAATAGGTTGTCCCAGGCTTGCCGGAAGAGGCAACAAGACAAACTCTATGAGCTGATATGCAGAGACCCCACCCGACTGAGCTTCTCACCCCCCATCACCCCACTGACAGCAGCCAGGGCCAAGCTGGGCCAACATGCTAAAGGGGAAGGCACCAGCACCTGACACACGCCCTCTTCCTCATCCTTTCCTGCCCCCACGCCTGTCCCTCACCTGCCCCCAGCTAAAGCTCGCCAGCCCCTCCTGTGCACAGCCGCTGACCCAGGCCTCTCTTCCCAACTCTAAAAGTGTGGCATCCTGGAAGTCAATGCAGTTGTCCCCAGCCAGGCCACTGCTCTGGGAACGCAGCTGGGGACTGCGCAGCCCTGTCTGATCGTCTGCTCCCATCTCATCTTGCCCACCCCCCAAGAAATTCCAGGCTAAGGAAGACCCTCCCACCTTAGACGCTCCCTGGGATGGAGGCTCAGGCATCAGACAGTGAGATGAACACTAGCAGGAGGTTCCACAGCAAGGCATGGAGGGGCAGGGGACAGCTTCCAGGGGCTGCAGGGCCTCCAGCCAAAATAACCATGGGCGTATGGAGGGAGGGGAGACATCAACCCAAACAGGTGTGGACACTCGGTTACTGGGGGTCCTGAGGCCTGCACAGGCCCTGTGAGCTCCCTGCACCCCTGCCAAGGCGCTCATCTATTTCTAGTGTGGTTCCTTCTAGAACTCTGGGTTTTGTGACATGATGACGGGCTCTACCCCAGCCTGAGATACTGAAGGGTGAGGATGCAGACACAGGTTTCAGGCCCAAAGACGGCTGGCGGTACCCGGCAACCTTGAGCTCTGTTACCTGTTGTTGGCGAAGATGCACCTTGCTCTCGCTCCTGCTCCGTCTCGACCCCTGGCACAGGGGCTGTCTCCGACTTCTCCAGCTGGAGGCAGAAATGCAAACAGGAAAGGGCATGAGCCCGGCCTGTCCATACCCTGTTAGCTAATAAAGCAGGTCTTCTCCCCTCCTGCTCCGGAGCTACCCTCAGCCACCCAGCTCCTCTCTGCAGCCCACCGATGCTGCCTACCAGGACCCCAGGGGGGCCATTTGTTGCAAAACACGTGTGGTCCAGCCAGCTCTGGACGGGAGCACCCCTGCACAGCCAGAATGCCCATTCCACAGCTGGGACATCCAGGTTGCCTCCTTACCGAGGGCTGGGGCACCTGGGTGGGCCCCAGGGCCGCAATGCTGGGTGCTGGGGTCAGGGCTGCATCCGCTCCGCAGGCCTCGGCATGGTGCTGGTCTCCTCTCAAAGATTCTAGTGTGAAGTCTCTGTCGCTCGCCTCCCCAGGGGTCCCGGCCGAGGCCGAGGAGGTAGGCACGTGCTCCTGGTAGAGCAGGGTCCGCAGCTTCTCATCCAGACTCTTGATGGTACTGTCCACAAAGCCCACCCTGGGGGGCGGCCCTTCCCCATCTGACTCCAGGGCTGAGGGCGGTGGTGGAGGGGCAGCGGGCCCCAGTGGAGGACTGGGGAGCTGGGAGGGGGCCAAGCTGATGGCCCCTACCGCGGAGGGGAGTGGGGGTGGTGGGTGGCCTAGGGCAGGCTGCAGGGCCCTGCCAGGTGGGCTGGGCTCGGGCGCCAGGGCCAGCAAGGACTCCGCTGGGGTACTGGCCTCCCTGGCTGGGGCGGTTTCCACCAGACCTGTGGGGTAGCGGGGGGCCTCTGGGGCTGGGTCACCGGGTCCCTGGCCCACGCCGAGGGGCTGCACAGTCAGCTGGACATCGTGAGTCTCTGAGAGCACTGGGGGGACCTCACACTCCCTAGCTGGCCCCTGAGGGGCCCCTGGGCCTCCTGCCTGCACGGCAGGCCCTGGCACTAACGCTGGCTCTGGCACGGCGCTGGCGGCTGCTGCTGCTGCGTCTTGGGGGGCAGCAGTCCCAGGAGGGTAGGATGGCGCCAAGGGGGCTGCAGTCCCACCCGGAGAGTCACTGAGGCCTGCCTGGCTCGGGAGCTGCTGACCAGCTAGGAAGCTGGGTGCTTCCTTCAAGGGTGGCTGGTCGGCACAAGGTGCTGGATCTAGAAGAAACGGGAAACACGTCTTAGTCATGGCTGGCGCTGGGGCTGTGAGTGTGACGCTGACACACAGCCTGGTCCGCCCGACACACCAAGTCCCTGCTGCCTGCAGGCGGCCTCGGTGTGGAGCACAGCCTTCCCGAAACCCCTCCAGGAGCTCCGAGCGGCCGATCTCACCTCGGGGTCGGTTCCAGCAGCATCTTCTCCCGGCTGAAGCAGCACTGCCTGCCCTGCCTGCGGGAGGTAGCCCTCCCCAGCACCGTGGTGCCTGCCCGTCGGGGATGCTCTCCCCAGTCCGCTCAGAGTGCCCATCCGCCGCACCCTCACGGCACCATGGCATCTGACTCTCGGGCACTCCCTCCCCAGTCCAGGGGTGGACAAGAACCTGGGACTCCCAGTGCATCAGATGCCCAGTCCTTGGCAAGGTGGAGCACAGGACGTCTCAGTTCTGCAGGAGCTGGTAAAGATCCCAGGCAGAGGCACCTGGAGACCAGGCCAGGGAGCAGCGCCCAGCGGCACTGTACCCAGAGCGCACGGGGCTGCCGTGCCCGGGGGAGGACGCAGGAGGCAGCATTACCCGGACTTACTTGACCTCTGAGCTCTTCCTCCTTACCTTAAAAAAACCAAACCTTTGTCTATTTTTTTAAAAAACATCACCAAAATGCACAAAAATGAACACTAAATTTTAAAAAAGTGGGGGCAGGAGATCACTTGTCCCTAAAGACCCCTCACGTCCCCAGACTCACTTTGCAACTCTCCTCGCTGCCATCAAAGGTCATTCATGGCGATGGGCGGTCCCTCCTCCACTTTCGTTTCCAGCCCTCCCATGTGTCTCTCCAAGCAGCACGATCCAGTGTCGGGGGTGGGGGGGTGGGGTGGGTTGCAGCAGCCCCCGCGGGGCAGCACTGCCCTTGTCCCTGGCACCTGGCCCCCTCTGTCTCTCTAGATGCCCCCAGCCTGCAGCCATAAAACTTCAGCCCACTGAACAGCACGTCTGCTTCTCTCCTGCAGGCCGGGCAACTCCCGTCTTCCCTCTGCTTCCATGGGCTTGACTGTATAGTGGAATATTATTCCACCGTGTCTAGGCAACATATCTTATTGATCCCCGCAGCTGTCCAAGCCTCTAGCCTGTTTTCCAATGAGTCCTCTTTTCTTTTCGATCCTTAGAGGTCCTTACGTGTACTGGACAAGAACTGGCCACACATTCATGCAGACATCTCGCACTCCGAGCTGGACGGATGGTGTCATATTTATGCCCGTCTTGCCCCCAGCATCTTAATTAGCGCTTTAATATGACTCTCTACAGTGGGGCCATAAAAACATTCTCCCGTTACTTCTGGGAATTGTACTGTTTTACCTTTTACACCGAGATTCACAAGCCGTGGTTACTGAGTTTTGTAGATAGCATGTGACAGAAGCCCTGGCCGCTGCCCCCATGCGGACAGCCTGCTGTCACATCCTTTTCTTGCAGACAACCATCCTGTCCCCGGCGCGGAGCAGTCAGAGCTGTCTTGTCAATCATGGGTCCACAGCTGACTGGGTCTGGGCTCAGCATTCCCACCCTTGTTCCCAGACTGCAGATTTACGTGTTGGGTCACGGTGTTCAGCAGAGCAATGTCCTTTCCCAGAGATGGTCTCTGTTTCTAATCCAGCTTCCTGTGTTGTGCATCCGGAGGCAGCAGGCAATGGCTCATGCCCTTAGGTCCTCACTGCTCACTTGGGAGACAAGGATGGAGTTCCCGCTCCTGGCTTCAGCCCGGCACAGCCTTGCTTGTTGCAGGCATTTGGGGAATGAACTGGTGGATGGAAGATCCCCCCTACCACCAGCTATTTTATTTTATTTTTTTAGTTTGAGAGGTACAGTTACAGAAAGAGGGAGAAACAGAAAAAGCTTTTCCACCTGCTGGTTCACCCCCAATCAACCACAATGGCCAGAGCTGTGCTGATCCAAAGCCAGGAGCCAGGAGCTTCTTTTGGGTCTCCCACGTGGGTGCAGGGGCCCAAGGACCTGGGCCATCTTCTACTGCTTTCTCAGGCTATAGCAGAGAGCTGGATCAGAAGAGGAGCAGACAGGACATGAACTGGAGCCCATATGGGATGCCAGCGCCACAGGCGGAGGCTTAGCCTACTATACCATGGCACCAGATCCCTACTTTTCAAATAAATAAACTGTAAAAAGATTGCTATCTTATTCTGTCTACATTTTGGATACAAAGTAGTAATATTGGAAGGAACATCACCTCTTACATAGCCTAACATGGAGTTACACATCACATGGCATGTGCTGTGTATTCATTCCCACTTGCGGAGAGGCTGATGTTGGAACCGATAGAAGAAAGCCTGCCTCAAGTTGGCAACAACTCAAAGAAGCCAACATTTGCTTTGGAAAACCATTTTCCCAGATGAACAGCACTTCCTTTAAATGAAAAATACTGTTGAGGGGCACCATATGACACTTCCTTATATATGTACAAAAATTGGCCAGGGCACTGGCTTTTAAGCATGGCTGCAGATCGGCATTGCCTAGAGGGTTTGACAGAGAAATGCTGGGTTCCAGCCCCCCAAATCCAGATCTGACTGCACTCAGCAGGGCCTGGGCCTCTTCAATCCTACTGCTTTTCTTTCTTTTTTCTATCTCCCCTCCTCTTCCCCTCCTATACTGCGCCACCAGGACGCTGGACACTGAATACAAGTTGGGGGGATGGGTATCTTTGTTCCCCGTGTTGAAGAGAAAGAATTCAACATTTCACTATCAAGAATATTTGTTGGGGCCAGCTTCGTGGTACACCGAGTTAAGCTGCAGTTTGCGAAGTCGGCATCCTATGTGGGCACTGTTCAAGTCCCGGTTGCTGTACTTTTTTTTTTTTTTTTTTTTTGACAGGCAGAGTGGACAGTGAGAGAGACAGAGAGAAAGGTCTTCCTTTTGCCCTTGGTTCACCCTCCAATGGCCGGCGCACCGCGTTGATCCGATGGCAGGAGCCAGGTGCTTATCCTGGTCTCCCATGGGGTGCAGGGCCCAAGGACTTGGCCATCCTCCACAGTACTCCCTGGCCACAGCAGAGAGCTGGCCTGGAAGAGGGGCAACTGGGACAGAATCTGGCGCTCCAACCGGGATTAGAACCCAGTGTGCCGGTGCCGCAAGGCGGAGGATTAGCCTAGTGAGCCGCGGCGCCGGCCCGGTTGCTGTACTTCTGATCCAGCTCCCTGCTAATGCAACGGGGAGAGCAGCAGCAGGTGGTCCAAGTCCTTGGGGCCCTGCACCCACGTGGGAGACCCGAATGAAGCTCCTGGCTTCTAGGTCCTGGCCCTGGCCTGGCCCAACCTGGCCACTGCAGCCATTTGGGGGAGTGAACTAGCAGATGGAAGATCTCTCTCCCTCTCTCTGTAACTCCACCTTTCAAATAAATAAATCTATAAACAAAAAGCAGCAGCAGAGGCGGAACCCCACCACAAGCTGTCTGATATGGGGTGTTATGTCCCAAGCAGCTTAACCCACAGCAGCACAACGCCTGCCCCACAATGTATATTCTTGACTATGCTCTCTTCCCAGACAAGAAACGAACCCCACAGTCATTAAAGCGCCCTTCCTTCTCTTTGATACACATGCTCCTATTTGCACACTTTACTATGCCTCCTGCGCTTTAAACCTCAAAGGACACTGTCTTACATGACAACATTCACGGAGATCCCGACAGTTACACACCCCCGCACGCGTCCTGACCTGTCTCGGCCCACGGTTCTGTCCACACAGGCAGCCTGTGTTCAGCTGAGATGTGCAGGCGACGGGGCCTCCAGCCTGTGGTCAGGATGTGCGGCTGCTGGCTCTGCAGGGAACGCGGCTCGTTCTGCCAGCAGCTGCACAAACCTTTCTTCCCCCGGCGGCGTCCTCTGATTTTTTGCCCTGGTTTTCAGCACTTCAACTACAAGCTATTTAAGTGTGGATTTTTCTTAACTTTGGGAGTTCAGAGGTTTCTGGAATTTGCTAACACCTTCCACTTGTCTGCTACATCTCCTCAGACTTGGTCTGTCTCATCCGGTCGCTGAGTGTCCACACTGCGTGTCTGACCATCTCCCAACAACCTCTTAGCTCCCCTCCTCTACTCCCCACTGTTGTCCTCACCCTTACTTTGTCTTTTCTCTTGAGCTGCACTGTTACTGTTACTCTGCAACAGCAAACAAACCACCCATCCACGTCTCATTTTCACTACTGTGTTTTTCAGCTCCACCATCTCCACTTCGCTTGATTTTTGGCATAGTTTCCAATTCTTTGACAAAAATGTCCATCTCATCATCGGTTTCTTTGCCACAGCCAGTAAGGGCCGTGGCCTGTGCACAGATCCCCACGTCTGGACCTCAGGGAACCAGCTCTCTTTGTTACCGTTGCTTGGTCTTAATAACTTTAATGATAGAATTGTTGAGGCCATCTTCCTATACTTAAAGAACAGTTCTGTAAGTTGTGACATAGGTACGGAAGCAAAACTGCCACCAAAATGGATACGACGACCAATGCCCATTGTTCTCCCAGAAGCTTCCTCGAAAGCCTTTGCCATCACCCCACCTGCCACCCTCACCTCACCGTCGGTCCCAGACAGCTGCTGATCCGTTTTCCATCCCTGTGGGGTAGTTTACATTTTCTGCTACCTTATCCAAGTGCAGTCCCATGCATTCTTTGTCTTACACGTGGCGTCATGATTTGGAGAACCACTCCTGCTACCTGGAGTACCAACAGCCGGTGCCTTTTTGTTGTACGGTGGTGTCACGTTCTAGGGACACACCAGCACATGTTTATCTGCTCAGTGATGGTCCCAGGGTTTGGTTATCATCAATACAACTGCTGTGAACATTTCCTGTACAAGTGCTTATATGGGCAATGCTTTCATTTCTTTTGGGTGAGGATAACTGACCCTCTGCATCCACGGACTCTTCACCGCAGGCTCAACTGATCACGAACAGAAAAAAAAAAAAAAATATATTTTTTTTTTTTTATATTTTTTTTTTTTTAA